GACTCAAACAAAGGATTTTATTGTTCAAGTTATTGCATCACAGTGATGTTATAGCTGCAGCTCACAAAATTATGGTAACAGGGTTGCTGTCTGGAAAAACAAACTGCATAAATGTTTGCATAACCATTTGTTAAAGTAAGTCATCTTAAAATGAGCAAAAGAAATCTTTTTTTAAATTTCAAGATAAGTGCTTGAATAAGCAGAACACTGACTAATATATTTTGTAGACTATACACTCATGCTATTATCAGCAAAAGCAGTATCTGCATGTCCACTATTTTCAGCCAAAGAATGGCAAATATTGTTTCTTTGTAGGTTTAGCTAAGCTGTAAAGAGATTGTGTACATTCATATTGCTTGTGGGAAGGCTGCAAGCTTTTTGACACCTTTTTAATCATTTCCTTAGAAAATCATGTTTCCAGAAGAAACATGAAGCTTTGAGACCAAATCCAGGAAGCTGGATATTTTGAAAGCTAGTTAACAATTCTTTAGAGAACAAGACCAGTTAAAAATAGAAGATAACTAAAAATGGAAAGTGAAGGCAGATAACGCTGCAAATGGTATCACACTTACAAGTCAACTAAAGATATCTATAATGCAAAAACTTTTACAGAAGTTTCTGCTAGTGCCAATAGCAGGAAGGAGCATTAGTCATTGTTCCTTAATTTTGTTGGTTTAAATCATGTCTTGGAATAAACCTGCAATCCCTGTTCAGTCAAATTCTTATTCAAATCAATGTTTTGACTGAGGAGATAATAATATGCTCTTAGCATTATTTTATTGTAGGCTTTGTGTTTATTAAATTACCGAGTGGGCAATGTAAATTCAAAATAGATTTTACATACAGATAAATGGAGATAACATACTTAAATTTGATAAACTAAAAAACAACATATGGTCTGATAGCACTTTATGGACTAACAAAACATGCAGATGTTATCATGAGCTTTTGTGGGCACAGCCCACTTTTCCAGTCATCTGGAGAAGTAGGCTGTGCTGACCAAAGCTCATGATACCATCTACATGTTTTGTTAGTCTATAAAGTGCTACCAGACCATTTGTTGTTTTTTAAGTTTATCCTGTACAGACTAACTCTGCTACCCCCTGAAGCTTACATTTGATCATTCAAGCTGCAAGGATAAGTAATAATCACAAGAAATTTTTGAACATAACATTTATCAGTAACTCCAAATGAATAGATTGTTGCATTGGGGAGGAGGGTGGTCAAATTCAGCAATCAACAACTGAAAGATAACATGAACATTATCAAGGACATGGGAAATTGTGTGTGTTTTAATAAATTATTCATTAAAGGTCTCACAATATCAGAGTGGGTTACTACAATAACTAGTATCAGATATCAGAGTGGGTTATTTCAGCTTTGGAGGTCTGATCACAGGTGACCTGGTTTTGATTGCATTTACCTAATATATGTGATCACAAACAAAATTATTGTGCATTTGGAGATAAGTGGTCACAACTGGCTAATTTTTACTGTAGCTTGATCTCCTGGATTAAGCAGAGAATGAAATCCAAGAACTGACTTTGATCCTGGCTTTTGTCACTTAGTTACTTCAAATGACCTGGCAAAGGAAAAATAAAGGGCCTGTGCCATTTTTGCATCTTTAAAAAAAGGCCTTGTTTGTTTTTAAAAACATAAATATTTCTTTCCCCCCCATCCTAGAAGAGTCTATGGCAACTGGAGAGCTATTTAAATTCTGACATCCCAAAAGATTGCAAAGTATGCCACTATCTCCTCCAGTGCCCAGTGAATTGAACAGAAAGTGCCCTGTTGTTTTCCATATTTCAGATCTGCTATTGAGAGAGAAAAGGAAACTATTTAAAATTCTGGTTTTGTTAACCTCTATTTAACAGGACCAATGCATAATGGACATTTGCTTGAAAAGAGTGAGGGATTCAGTACCACCATCACTTCAGTTAAGGTGGGAAAGTTCCTACCAGGCTTAAGACAGAAGACAAAACCAGGGAACCTTCAGGCCCCCCCCCTCCCTTTTTTTGAATCCTACAAAACCCAGAAGGGCAGACATCTATTTCAGTGACAATATCTGCATGGCTGTGCCTCAGTTTCTACTTCCGTGGATCGTAATACACTTCAGACCTGCCGCCCAAGTTGTTGCAAGAGTTAATTAGCTACTAGGTGTAGTGCTTGGAACAAGTGAAGTTCTCATTGTTATGAGCAGGCAAAGGGCTGTGAGGGAGTGGGGGGGGGGGGGGTCTCTAATTTCCACAGCAGTACAAATATCTATCTATAAAATTCAAAGACACGGGGAGGCGATGCCACGATGCCAGCGCGCCCGCCAAGCCTAGGCACAAAGGCTGGCGAAGCAGGGCGCTCTGGTTGGCGCAGCGGAGAACGTGGGAGCAGGCGGCATTGCTGAACATATTTCCATTCTCAACGCAGAGAGAGGGAGCGAGGCTCCCTCCCCCCTTCGGCTCCGCGTTAATGAACAGCGAGTACACACACTACGTGACTGGAGACGCATCCCTCCCACTGCCGAGCCTGTTCTCTCGCTCGCTCCCCGGCGGTACACAACCACCCCGTGTTTTCAGCCTGCCTTATTTACTCCGCTTCCCTCCGCGCCAGTGCTCAGCCCAGGCCGCCCTCCCCAGGCACTCGCCTCCTCCCGCCCTCCCCGGGGCTGCCTCCCATCCGCCCCCCGCTCCAGAACAAAGGAATGCGGCGCAGCAGCAGCGCCATCCGCCTCCCCAGTCCCAGGAACCAACGCCTAGTGATGCGGCCCCTGCCAGCCCCCTCCCCTGGTAAGACAGCCACCCCGGGAAGGGGCTGCTGCTGCTGCTCTCCGGCAGTCAGGAGGAGGCCCTCCGACTTGCACCAGCACCTCCCGCCCAATGGACTAAACCCACAGCCCCCAAGTCACCCCCCCCCCCCCCCACACACACACCCGCCTACCTATGCACAAACGACATTGATTCCACGTGGCCCGCAGGGAATAATGTGCCACAACAATAAACACTGGAAAGTGGGGGCCCAAAACCTGGCAAGAGTCGGATCTTCTTAATTAGCTCACTTATTTAATTCATCCAAGAAAGGAGCCCAGTCTTCTCAAGAAACCGCGCATGTAAAGACCCTGCCCCCCGATTTTGCATCCCCGGCATTAGCCACTGAAGCCGGTGGCAGTTCTGGCTCCGCACGGAATGCAGTTAGCCACTGAAGCCGGTGGCAGTTCTGGCTCCACACGGAATGCAGCATCGGGACCATTATTTGTTTAGCATACAAGGGAAATGTTTTTATTTTCTCACTGAAAATTATCACCGTCATTCTGAGCTGCGTCTGCACTTTATTGTGACCACAGCCCTGGCGGAGGATAATAAAAAACTGGTTTCATGTAAAACGCGTAATACTGACCTACATCAGCTTTTCTCATAACCCATTCTAAAAACACCAATATTTAATGTGAATGGGATACTCCCTCCCCCGAGTTTTTACTTCGTCAGAGTTTATAACGATCACGAAGGGAGGTGACAGACTATCTCGATTCTTCAGTGCTGTTCGCACGATCTAAAATATGTATCAAACCCTCTAATGTTCTTTTAAAAAAAAAAGATACATGAAAGCCAATGCCTAGCAAAATGCTTAGCCTCTAGGAGAAACGCCTTCCTGAAAATACAGTTTTATCAAAACATGAGGTTAAAAACTCAGCCAAATGGCCTTAAACGTCTATTTGCCCAGCTCTGGAGAAAAGACCGAAATAGCACATGAAGCCACAAATGCTAAAATGTGATAGGGCTAAATATAGATTAACATACATTTCATTACGAGGGTGTATAACACAGATTGAGCAAGCACAAGTTACCTCCCCACTTACCAGTAGACTACTTTCCTTGTTAAACACACTTTTAAAAAATCTGTTACAGTGACATTTTTTAGCCTGAGATTGTCCTAGTTTCTTTTTGTAGCGAGATTATAAAATCGCCTAATTAGCTCCCTCTTCCTACCCTGACTGCCAGCAAATTCAGTGGTTACATAATGCAACATTTCCAGGAACTATTAAATGATCGGTCTTACAGTGTCTGATAAACAGTCACCAAAGTGAGGGGGGGAAGCAAAAAAACCAAACTAATATAATACATATGTGAGAGAACTGAATGCTACATGTACTCTTTTCCGTGTATAAAAGCTACACCCCTGAGCGCAATGTGAAAATATAAACTCGCCGACAGTCACTGGCAATCGGCATAAAAACTCCCTATTTGCGTGTGAAATGTACAAAACCGAGTGCATTTAATCATCTAATTTCCTAACTGCACCAAAATCACCAAAGTATTGCACACGCAACTGCACACACATCCCACCCAAATGCTTGCCAGTATTTCACAGTGCAATGTGATTATGCAATGTTCGGAAGAACAAGACCCACAAACCTTGCCTCGGGCTTGTTACATAGACAGAGGACAAAAAGGGTCTGAGGCATGTTTCCTTTTAAATCTATACTATGTAATTTTTTTTAAACAGGCATTTTCTGAATTCCTTCTCGTGTTATAATTCATTTAATTGTCCTTCTGTTAGCAGGAAAAACCAGTATTCTTAAAGCTACTGCTTCCCCACTGCTCCACACAGACCCTTTCCCCACCCAGAGTGAGATGGATCCGCCTCAGATCAAACGTCCCTGGCGCTTTCTCTATGAAAACATCAATTTTCCTCAAACAAGGAGACATATTATGCAACAACAATGTATCCAAAGCAGCAAACAAACAGCAGCAGCTCCAAGTCTACGTGCTGTCGAGAGGGCGCTGCAATCAAAGCGGCCACCTTAAGGTGGCGAGTCCCAATACGACAGGCTAGCAAAAGTTCCATATATACACACAAGAGAGAGAGCGAGCACACACGCCTATATCAAGCTATGTGGAGCGAGCGAGATAGTTACAGGCACAGAGAGAGAGAGGTGTGTGTACAACAAGGTGGGGGTAGCAGCACACAGGCAGATCCAGTAAGTAGACTACAAGCCACTACAACGTTACCTTCATAATCGCCACTGGTAGAAGGAAAAAGGCTGTATCCCTCCAGCAACCCGTTAGCGTTTGCCTCTGTTCTGCTCCCGAGCGCTATGGGGAGTGGGACAAGGGAACTTGCTGTGAGCGGCTGCGAAGCCCTGACCCCAGTCCGCGCGCCCGCGCCTCCCCCCCCCCCCGCCGTTGGAGAGGGATCTGTGTTAGTAGGTCAGTCCTGTACACTCCTCACAACGCACAGTCCTCATGCCAGCCTTTGCTGTGACTGGCAGCGGCCCGGCCCCAATCAGCGCTCAGCGCTCCCCGGGTGCAGCCAATAGATGCCTCCAGAAAGGGAGTAACAGGGGCTGGACCAGACTTGAATTGAACCCCCTTTCCTCCTGCCGTTGGAGAGGGATCTGTGTTAGTAGGTCAGTCCTGTACACTCCTCACAACGCACAGTCCTCATGCCAGCCTTTGCTGTGACTGGCAGCGGCCCGGCCCCAATCAGCGCTCAGCGCTCCCCGGGTGCAGCCAATAGATGCCTCCAGAAAGGGAGTAACAGGGGCTGGACCAGACTTGAATTGAACCCCCTTTCCTCCTCCCTTAACACTTCCCCCCGCCCTATGGGAGCCGTGTGTGGTACTGTAGATATGTGCGCTGGGTATTGCATAACCAGCTGGGGGAGAGAGGAGGGGGGCTGCTGACATTTACGTAATTATCCAGCGGCGAGCCAGAGGCCAGAGTTAAGGTGGAGACTTTCCTTGCGTCTTTTGATTAGTGACTCTGCCAGCAGCACTGTAGTGACCCCGGAGCTTGCACAGAGCTCGCGTGTAAACAGCTGTTGTTGTGGCGCAGGCGTGAAGGACCGCGGAGAAGAGACGGAAGATGCCCCGCTGGCTGGCTGCACTGGGCTGCGCAGATAAACACGCCGCCTGCTTCTCCTACCCCGGGAGAAGCGGGGAAGGGCGCTAGGAGCTTCACACGCGCGCGCTGGGGAAAGGGAGCCCCGGGTACCTCCCCCGCGACTGGAGCCCTTGCGGGGGCAGCGCTATGAAAAACGTGGAAGCCTTGGTAGGAAATGAAAGAGAAAGGTGGGCAGGGGAGTAAGGCCAGTGTGAGCATGGGTAGTACGGGGCGGGAGGACAGGCTATGGATGTGCGGGTGGAGGTGTGTTGCCGGGCTGCCTGTGGCGTACGTGTGTGTAGTGAGCCAGCGTGCAGTGTGTAAGGGGAGTGATGTGTGTGTTTGCCGGAGAGCCTTTGGCGAGTGCAAGGAGGTGTGGCAGTGTATTTTTGTTGACTGGGCGTGTGTTTTCAAGGGGCGGGGGACTGGCTCTTTGATGAGTGTGGGACGGAGAAGCGATTTGTAAGGAGGAGTTTTGTCCCTTGTTCAGAGGAAGATTTACCCAAACGCATGAACAAAACAAAGCCCTTGTTTTTATAGTCAGTGAAACAAATGTGTGGAACAGACCCTAAAGCACTGCAGCTTTATAGTTTGTTTGCTCTGAAGTATGATTAAGGGAAGTTTCTCTGCTAAGAAATTAAAAATAAAATTTCCCAGTGGCTAGCCATATTGTATAGTTTCTAAATCACTACACAGCCAGTTTTAGGTGCATATCTGTCACCCAGCCACACTATAAGTAATCCTCCAATGATTAAGGTACTCTGGTTCCTTAATGGGTGTGTTTCCTGCTGTTAGTTGGCATTTTGTGCTACAGGCTACAAAGCATATACTGTACAGCTGATGATACAGTTAGTATTTCTTTCACTGAACTTCAAGAATATATTAGTATTTCTTCTACAAACAAAGCTGTCCTCTCTCCCCATCATAAAATCCTCAAAAATAAGAAAATATTTTATAGCGGTAATCATCACACATTTATTTTCTAGTTGAATGGCCCCTTCTCACTCTTTAAGAACAGCTCACAAAGGTTCAGAGGACGTGCTTGCCTACAGTCTTAACTTTTGTCAGACCTTCAACCTCTTCTTGTTTCACCGGGGTAATGAAAAAGGAACATTAAAAGAGTAAGCCATGTCTACACTAACACTGATATCAGCAAAACTTTAGCTATGAAAAAGGAACATTAAAAGAGTAAGCCATGTCTACACTAACACTATCAGCAAAACTTTAGCCTCTCAGGGGTGTGGAAAAACACACCCTTGAGTCATAAGTTTTGATGACACAAGCTCTCATTTTCACAGCACTGTCAGTGGGGGATGCTCTTCTGCCAACATAGAGCTGGTTTTATTATGTTGATGGGAGAGCTCTCACCCATGACAGCATAATGCAGCTATACAAGTGCAATTTGCTGTAACCTTGTAAGTGTAGACAGGGCCTTAGTCTGGTGTTGGTCTGCATTTGTCTAACCTCCATTTTAGAATACGACATGTGGTCAGTTAGAAATCCAGTTCTCTCAAAATGTGTTTGAATTTACAGAGACAAGGTGGAACAGATTATTTAGTACATATTTCAAGGGACCATTCAAGGTGACATGACATTTGACTCTGACAAATGAGAGATAATGTGAGTGAGATAATATCTTTTGTTGAACCTATTTATATTGGTGGAGGAGACAGAGGTAAAATTTTTGGTTACATGGTTACTAAAATACTCCCCAGGGGTGGGGCCAGCAGCCAGTACGCTCAGGCCCGGCTCCTGAGGAGCCCCTGAAACTTTGCAATGCTGCCTCTATATCAGAGGCAGCAGCATGGGGTGCTGCCAGGTAGGAGCTGGTACATGAGGGGAGCCAGTTTAAAATCCAGCTCCCCTCGCAGACTGGCTGCCTGTCGCCCTGTGCTGCTACCTCTGATAAAGAGGCAACAGCATGGGATGGCAGCAGCCCCTGTATAAGGGGAGTGTGGTGTCCAAGCTCCCGGACCTGGTGCAAGCTGGAAGAGAGGCAGGCTGCTTGCCTGCCTTGCTCCTAATACACTTTAAATACAGAGCTGCAACAGGAGGAGGTCCTAAACCCATCACAAGCCAGGACTGAGCTGGGCTGCTGGCCAGCCTGCTAAAAAAATTGCTGGTGGGGGAGGGGAGGGAAATGCATTAATTGGTTAATTGGCGACACTATTACATCCCTAGTCTACACTACATAATTAGACTCATTTAAATATGTCATTCAAGAGTGTGAAAAATCCACATATCTGAGGCTACATCTAGACTGCAAGCCTCTTTTGAAAGAGGCTTTTTCAAAAAATACTTTCGAAAAAGCCTCTTTCGAAAAAGAGCGTCTAGACTGCAAGCAGTACTTTTGAAAAAGCAATCTGCTTTTTCGAAAGAGAGCACCCAGGCAGTCTGGATGCTCTCTTTCGAAAAAGCCCTGTTTGCATTCAAGAACGCCTTTTTTTGAAAGAGCACTTTCGAAAAAAAAGTTCTTCCTTGTGAAATGAGGAGTAACACCATTGAAAGAAAAGCTGCATTCTTTTGATTTAATTTCGAAAGAACACGGCTGTTGTCTAGATGCAGGTGAAGTTTTTTTGAAAAAAGGCTACTTTTTTCGAAAAAAACCCTGCCGTCTAGACACAGCCTGAGTGTCTCCCGATGTAGACGACACTAAGTCAATGGAAGAATTCTTTGATTAACCTACCTATCACCTTTTGGCAAGGTGGATTACCTACACCAATAGAAGAAGCCCTTAGTGTAGGTAGTGCCTACACCAGTGGTGGGCAACCTGTGGCCAATTCAGATTCTGAGACATTTTGTTTACCGTTGCCCACACATAAGGGTTGCCAGATTCTGCTTGTTTTCATTGCATTATTTTTTCTTCGTATTACAAAAGTGACATGCAAAGGCATGTGAAGTGAGGTGCATCATGACTGCACACAACACTAACTGTGGGAGCTGTGTACTCCTTCTGCATCCAAAGTGCCGCTATGGTTCAATCAGTACACTCCACAAATTCTAGCTACACAGCACAGTTAGCAGAACTACTCTGTCACCGTAACTCATCTTAGTTACGACAATCTTGTGACCCACTGAGATGAAGGAGGGACACTCATGCCTCCTCCCTGGCCTACAATAAAGTCCTGTGCTGCTGTAGTGTTTTAAATATAGAGGTACCCACAGACAAACCTACACAGAGCTAGGTAGGACAGATTGTTAAGCATAGGAGTTAACATATGTTGCAAGACACCATGCGAAATTAAGTGGGTAATTAACACCTCTGCAGGTCATAGACAAAGGACATTTAGTGGGTTACAGATTGTTGTGGAGAGACAAAAACCAAGTATTTCTACTGAGTGCATGATTTTTGGGATATGTCCAGGGCTGTCCCTAGGGATGGTGCAAGGCATGGGATAATCCCCACTGTGCCCCAGACCCCACCCGGACCCCATCCTGCTTCTTCTCACCTGTGTTCTGCCCCCATTGCCCCCAAACTTTCTTCCCTGAACAGGGTGGGGACTAGCAGGGTGCCTGGGGCCAGCAGCAAGGATTGAGCCTGCCCCTACACTCACTCACTGGCAGCAGCAGGACGCAGAGCAACCTGGCCCCAGCCTACTCTGCTCCACACTGGTTCCCATCTGCATTACTAGGGGAGGGGGCTTAAGAGAAGGGGTAGGGCCCCCCAGCCTGCTCCGCTCAGTCAACTCCCAGGTCTAGATGCAGGTGAAGTTTTTTTGAAAAAAGGCTACTTTTTTCGAAAAAAACCCTGCCGTCTAGACACAGCCTGAGTGTCTCCCGATGTAGACGACACTAAGTCAATGGAAGAATTCTTTGATTAACCTACCTATCACCTTTTGGCAAGGTGGATTACCTACACCAATAGAAGAAGCCCTTAGTTAGTATAGGTAGTGCCTACACCAGTGGTTGGCAACCTGTGGCCAATTCAGATTCTGAGACATTTTGTTTACCGTTGCCCACACATAAGGGTTGCCAGATTCTGCTTGTTTTCATTGCATTATTTTTTCTTCGTATTACAAAAGTGACATGCAAAGGCATGTGAAGTGAGGTGCATCATGACTGCACACAACACTAACTGTGGGAGCTGTGTACTCCTTCTGCATCCAAAGTGCCGCTATGGTTCAATCAGTACACTCCACAAATTCTAGCTACACAGCACAGTTAGCAGAACTACTCTGTCACCGTAACTCATCTTAGTTACGACAATCTTGTGACCCACTGAGATGAAGGAGGGACACTCATGCCTCCTCCCTGGCCTACAATAAAGTCCTGTGCTGCTGTAGTGTTTTAAATATAGAGGTACCCACAGACAAACCTACACAGAGCTAGGTAGGACAGATTGTTAAGCATAGGAGTTAACATATGTTGCAAGACACCATGCGAAATTAAGTGGGTAATTAACACCTCTGCAGGTCATAGACAAAGGACATTTAGTGGGTTACAGATTGTTGTGGAGAGACAAAAACCAAGTATTTCTACTGAGTGCATGATTTTTGGGATATGTCCAGGGCTGTCCCTAGGGATGGTGCAAGGCATGGGATAATCCCCACTGTGCCCCAGACCCCACCCGGACCCCATCCTGCTTCTTCTCACCTGTGTTCTGCCCCCATTGCCCCCAAACTTTCTTCCCTGAACAGGGTGGGGACTAGCAGGGTGCCTGGGGCCAGCAGCAAGGATTGAGCCTGCCCCTACACTCACTCACTGGCAGCAGCAGGACGCAGAGCAACCTGGCCCCAGCCTACTCTGCTCCACACTGGTTCCCATCTGCATTACTAGGGGAGGGGGCTTAAGAGAAGGGGTAGGGCCCCCCAGCCTGCTCCGCTCAGTCAACTCCCAGCCATGTCACTGCACTTCCCACTGCTGCCAGTGAATGCAGGGGAAGTCTCACTCCTTCCTCCAAGCAATGGGTCTGGGAACCGGCAAAGCCGAGTGGGCTGGGGCTCAGGGCCAGCTCGAGCCATTCCTGCGCCCCGGGCAGCAGGCGCACTACACGTGCGACTCCGCCCCTGGGTGTACGGCGCATGCACGGCCCCGCCCCCCCAGCGCGTGGCACCCCTTACAGCTGCTGTCAGGTACCATAGGTTGGCGCCCCGGGCAGCTGCCCAGCTTGCCCCGCCCTTAATCCGGCCCTGCTGGGGCTGGGTCACTCCACTTCCCCTCCACTGCCAGTGAATGAGTGGGTGGGCCTGACCTTGCTACCAGTGCCAAATTCCCCACTAGTCCCCTGTGGGAGTCCCCCAAAGCACAAGGCTGCAATGGTTGCCCTGAATTATCCTATGGACCGAATAACTATGTCAACACAGTGTACCTTGCAATGGTGCAGCTCTGCCACAATAGCTGCTGCACCATTGTAAGCTGTGTGGCTGCTCCTTATCACTGGGCGAGAGCTCTCTTGACAACAAAATACAACCTACCCTAACTAGGGGAGGTCACTTCAGCAACATCGTCCACACTAGCACTTTTTGTCACACAACACTTTTTTGGGTTGGGGGGGGGAGGGAAATTATTTTTTCATATGAGCCACAAAAATTTTAGTGATGAATGTGCCATTGTAGACTGAGGGTATGTCTAGATTGCAAGACTATTACTGGAGGTATCCCGAAATAACTGCCCCACATCCAAGAAATGCATCTGCTATTTTGAAATAATTTTCAAAATAACAGACGGGCTATTTCGGCATCCCTGTTAACCTCGTTTCATGAGGAATAAGTGCTTTATTTCAAAATTTGGCACCATATAGATGCGCCAAATTTCAATATAGCCTATTTAGAAATAAAATCAAAATAAGATATGAAATATGCTTATCTTCTTTTGATTTTAGAGTGCAGTCTAGATGTAGCCATAGACTTAATAACTAGTAAAATTGTGAATTTAAGCTGTGAAAAAAATGTATCCCTATGAATCCCTTGGCATTTCAGAGTTTTCACAACTTAAGATCTTCTCTTTTCTACAGAGGATGGACCCAGTGCTTTAATTGTCTATCCAAACTTAGATTCTTGAGATCTGGAGATCAATCTCTAAGGCAAAAGTATCTTTCTGTGTGGTAGGGAATACTGGCAATAGTATTGTGAATGGAGTTTAGTTTCCTATTTCTTCATTTTTATTATTGCTAGTTATAATCACCTACAAATGTGGTCCTGGGTCTTTCCCCAAGATCCATATACAAAAGGGGGCCACTATATGTAGACCTCAACCCTCCTGCTTGAAAGAGGGTACAGAGATCCACTTCCACAGCACCTTCTCTTTTTTCCATTCTCCAAATCCTATAAAAGTTACCCACTGGATCTGGGAACCATAGAATGAGGAGTGGACAGAACAGGGCTATGACCAGAGAGAGGGAGAGAGAGAGAGCACATCACACCCACACCATTTCTCTTCCTTTTCTGACCCACAAAGCATAAACAAAATAAAATGAATACAACATGAAGCTGTAATAAATGTACCCACTCTACTCAGGGGTTCCTAAATACTATTGGGGGGCGGGGAGGAGAGACTTTAGAGAAGGACCTGACTTTGGAACTTCAAAGGAACCACGATTCTAGGGACAGAGTGCAAAGTAGGAATTAAAATTGGTACAGCAGACCACTGAATAGATATCCCTGTTTTCTACAGATGCTTCAAGATGCACCAAGTTTGGATTAAACATCACAGTAAATTCTTTGGGGGCAGGTAAGCTGATACAACTTATACCTTCTTCTGGCCTTTTTTTTGGTGTGTCCATTATACAACTTCAGCTCCCATTTAGTGGCATGTAACTTATACCCCTGTATCTATTACTTTTGAAGTTAGCCTAAAGCGTTTAACTTAACTGAATTGATGTAACTTTTACCCAGAGAGATGCCGGAAGAGAGGAGGTATAGCAGAAAATGCGATTAACAAGAGGATGTAATGTAAAATGGTAATTTATACTTTTTGGCACCAATTTAAACTTCCTTTGGCACCTTTACATTCACTTGCAGACGTGTAATTTACACCTCCTCTCATTTAACCTATGAATCTGACTTTTGGGGGGACATCCAGACTCCAATAGCAAAATTCCTGTTGATTACAATAGGGGCAGTATTTCATCCCTTGCTTTTAATGTGCCCATTAAATAGTACAAAATAATATTATAAATATTGATTAGCTTGGAGAGCAATAGCAGTAAAATAATTCACAGTATTGTGAAATATCATAAAATTGAATGAATTATTTAAAGTGTGGGCTATATTTTTACAAAATTAATAAAATGTGAGGATATAATTATTAGTTGATTTACTATCATCCTTGCCTTCTATAAACTGCAGTCTTTGAATCCAAAAGAAAGTAAGTGCACAATGATCCATACACTTAAAAAATCTGCATGTGCTGATATCCTTGATATTTTAGGAGTTCAGGGCATAAAAATGGTTCATGCTGACCTGCTGTTTCAATGTCTCTTGCTCTAAAACAGCAGTTACTGAAGATTCTATATAATATATAATTATAAGTAATATTATAAAGTCCAAAGAACAAATCCAGAAAAAAAGAATATTAAATAAAAATAACAAATCATTTGACTAAAAGAACTGTGATTGAAAGCATTAATCAAAATAGTTCTCTGGGAAAATTTGTGGGAACTTCACGGGAAAAACATTTGCGCTATAGAATAGTTTAGCTAAGTGAAAACTTGAGAAATAGGTTCACATTGTAACTGAGGCAAACATAAATGAGGAAATGTTTATTGGAGCTATTGAGTGTGAAGAAATACCAAAAGTTGCACAATAAGTGCACAGAATGGAGAAGGAAAATTTTCATGATACTATTTACACAGCAGCAGCCAACTTAGGTTAATGGATCATTCGTAACCTTTACATTGCACCCAACTGCAAAAGCAAATTTTGCACCAAAGGCTGTACTTTTAAAGCCTGAAGTACAAATTTAAGGTAAAAATAGGCTTGTACTATAGTTGAGCAAATGAAACAAAAACAAATGAACAGAATTAATAGAACCAAAACCATTAGTGATCTACCACAAATGTAACTTATAGTACTGACCTAAAACAATGAGAAAGTAAAATTGGAGTAAAAGACTCTACCTTCCTCAGATTTTGTGCATCACACTCAGATACTAATTTATCAAAATCTCTCTTCAATGTGCAGGCCCGATATGTGGAAACAGCAAAGCACTAAACTGTGTAGTGCACATCCCATTAGAGTTCTGCAAAACAACAGAAGCAATAGAACATTAGGCAGATATCTGTTCTTTACTGAATAGTCTGATAACCACAATAAAGGACTAAAGTATTTTCCAAGGCTCCAAATTAATGAGCACGTGTGAAGAAAGGCAAATAACATTTCACCACCTAAAATTTTGACCCGCTATTGCCAGTGCCATGGAAAATAGAAACATGTTTTACTGTTTATTGTTAATATCAGACAGAATAGTCTATGAAAAGCCCTGAAGCACGCGAAAATGTGCCAAATTAAAATGTGCATAAACATATAGACACCAGCTGTGACCCTTAGCCAGCTATGAATGCCTCCACGGCTACAAAAACACTCCCAGCATCCCCTGTACATATAACTGAGCAGTAGGAATGACAAGAGGAAGCCTGTGGAATACCAAGTAAAAACTCCCTTAGGAAAAGTGATTCAGAAAACTACCTTCAGCAAGAAAGAGATAAACTCCTTGTGGACATCTACTTCCACTCCTTCATGTATGCACAGGTGAATCAGTAATATCTCATCTTCTTACTATATAGTTTAGAAATGTCTGTCTGTCCATCTGTGAGTCTGTTTGTTCAAAAACTCTTCCTTCATGGCAAGAGCTAGGACCACCACATTTGGTATGCCAGCATAATGGGATGTGTGTGGAATTAATTTGTTTCTCATAAAATAGAAAGGGAGGGGTCTGGCAGAAGGGAGTTATACTGCAGAATGGCCACAAGGGGCAACAAGGGGCCAGAGATGGGGACTGACACCGCTATAGCCACATTGGGCCAAAAGTGGGCACAGGTGAAGAAAGGGACAGTTATCTACTATATGTTTCAGAGAGTTTATCTATCCCCCAGCTGGGAGACATCCCTCCCTCCCCCAATTAGGCATGTTCAATTTTGATTAATCAGCTAATTGAGTAGTTGATGGAATTTTCATCGACTACTCCATTAGTTGACAGGGGATGGTGGAGTGCTCGCTTTCTTGGCTGTGCCTCTGCCTTGTAAATGTTGTAAGAGCTGCCTGTGGCTCTTACTACATTTAAAAGTCAGAGGCACAGCAGAGAACCCAGGGTGAGTGGGGACCGAAGCAGCCCCTGCTTGCACTGGGTCCCAGAGGCTGTGCCTCCACCTTTGAAATGTAGCAAGCATCCCACCTGTCTCATGCTACATTTCAAAGGCAGAGGCACAGCAGTTGGGACCGGGAGTGAGCGAGGACTGCTTCAGTCCCCGCTTGCACCATTTTCCGTTGCACCTCTGCCTCCCCTATGCCCCCCTGCGGAGATAGTATTGGGGGAACCAGCTTTTAAGTCAACTCCCCCCAGCATGGGCTCCTGTTCCCCTCCTTCCTGCCTTTGATACAGAGGCAGCAGGTGGGGGGAAGCAACTAGTTGAGTAGTAACTCGACTACCTGATAAGCCTGTGCTTATCGGGTAGTCGACTAGTTGCTTACATTCCTACCCTGGATGTGCTGGTTGGAGCAACAGTAGCCTTGGACAGACACTTCTCACCTGGCCTCAAGCTACTGCAGTGAAAGAGAGCTGGGATTGTCCCCTCTAATGGGGGCAACCTGCATACTGAACCCATCATCCCCAGCTCCACCCTAGAACAATGATTTAAATGAAGAAAAACAAAACTTGAGTTAAGAACCCGAACAATGCCGGATAAATCTTCTAGTAGTAAATAGTACAGAAGGCAGCAAATTGAGCTGATAATATTATCATGGACACCTGATACTCATCCAGTGTCAGGAGGAAATTATCTAATGCAACAAGTACAGTCTTCCTACTATCCTGTTATCAGACCCAGATCTGCGTTCAGCCTGAGAAGGCTTGAGATTTGAAGCATCTAGTTACTCAGACCTGTCTTCCCCCAATCCTCTGATGTGAACCAAAATAGAAGATAAGAAACAGGACAATACTTTGCAAGCAGGGCCGGATTAAGGGGGGGGGGCTAGCTGGGCAGCTGCCCGGGGTGCCAACCTATGGGGGGGGGCTCCTGATTGAAGTGGTAAGGGGTGCCACGCGCCTGGGGTGGGGCTGCACATACGCCATGCATCTGGGGGCACGGCCGCACATGTGCCACTCGCCTGGGGCCACAGCGCCCCTTACCATGTCAACCAAGCACCGCGTGCCCGGGGGGTGGGACCGTGCATGCGTCATGCACCCGCTGCCCAGGGCGCAAGTATGGCTCGGTCCGGCATTGTTTGCAAGATTGGCTATATCAACTTATGATTTCCCTGAGAAGGGAAGGAACAATGCCCTGCTCCACCGCAAAGAAATGATGACAATATCTCTCCTTGTAATGAACAGAATACTTTCCTCTTTGCCTTCATGCAGAAGTCACAGGATTAAGGGCTCCTAGTACCTCCATAAATGAAACTTGTTTGAAATTCTAACAGAGAAGACTTAGCATTTGTCTCTTCAAGTTATTGCTCTGCCCCCATGAATATGTGCAGACTCACTTGCAAAACAGCATTAAATTGATTCACATTATAATCTAATCAAATCAGACAGAACTGACACAACCAGGATTAAATGAGTTATTCACCACCTGAATAAGATTTTGCAGAAACTATGATAAAGCCACCTCCATCCCCCACTTTTCTTTTTTGTCTCCTGTAAGATACATGAGAACTGGAAGATGTTAGATGCTTTCATTTAGGTCTGCCATTACTGTTCCAGTGATCTACTTTTTTGCTGCATGTGTCTATACACCAAAGTGAGCTGAGTGACAAAAGCCTGACCAGGATTAGAAACAACAAAATTAATGGCTGAGGACAAAAGTTCATAGTCCTACCAACCCCTCCATCAAGTGGTGTGTTATAGAAACCATACTTTCTCTAATAGCAATCTGAGAACAGTCAAGTTTCATTAAGCTTCAAAGGTAGACCATGAAACTGATCACTCACCTAACAAAAATGTAATTCTGGCACTGGTAATTTCTGTTGTGGTCCAGGCTGCATACTTAGGAGATGTGAGAGAAACCTGAGGGTGCATTTTGTTAAATCTTTTTACCCTATGTATGGGAATGATGATTGAAGGACCTATTTGATAGTTAAACTTATGTATTTTCATAATATTTTTCAATTTTTTTTCAGATAAGCTTCTTTTCTGAGCTCTGGACATATTTTGGCACCTACCACTATTTTTGTTCTATATCTATTAGGGCTGACCTTGCCAATCTCTACTTACATGAGTCATCCCATTGACTTTAATAATATTGTGTGTGAGAGTAAAAATTACTCAAGTGATTTAGAATTACTCATGTGAGCTTTTGTCAGTGTAACCGATAGGAAGTTATTAAGTGTTATAAGGTTTGGGATTAAATCTTTTACATAACAGGGGTCAAGTTATTTTCAATCTGCTCTGAACAAACTAAAACTTGAAGAGTGAACAGGGGCTGTATAAACTATTAACAAAACCTACGTAGGATTTGTCTCAGGACAAATGGATTCTCAGAGGTTTCCTGAAACACGTACATATTCTATAGATGTAATCTTTTAAGTAATAATGCAGATTGTAAGGGTGTATCATGAGATAATGGACCACATTGTATTATAGAACCCATAGTAAATAAATATGATTTCACTTGCACCAAAATGTTGGGACTTTTTTATTCTTGACCACTGAAGTAAGGCAGACAGACAGCTTGTCTAACATTGTGTTCTGGAAAATATTTATTAGAGCCAATATTTTCTAGTGCATTTGTACATCAATCATACCAACTAAGAAAAGTAAAACAGGTATTAAAATATCAAGACGTTTGTTTTTCTACTACAGTAATCATGGATGAGTCATTTGTCAAAGACTCTGTACTTTGCAAAATAGTTTGCAAATGTGTACCAATGAAGTGAAGAAAATTTAGTAGTTACCTTAAAGACATTAATAGCTACAAAAAGATTGTCACGCAGCAATAATTAACAAAGAGACAAGGAGAAGCTGTTTTGTGCAGCACATCTCTATGGTACTGTTTCGTTGTTATTGTGCATTAAAGATTAACTTAAGCATTGGCCAACCTAGTTAAAGCCTTGTGAAAAATGTGACTTTCCCGCATTACGGATAGTCTACTGGCAGGCAGCCCCTAGAGTGGTAGAAGGAAGGAATGCTTTCTGCTGCTCTACAGTAATGTTTCTTATTGATTAAGGAAGTCCCCTTGAGTCAAGGTGACAAATATGTGAAAACGTGGGGCCTTAGGCCTCTAAACTCTTTCACCTTTCACAGTAATTTACAGAGAAGGAGAAGTCAGCTGGAGACACGGATACAACTGAGAGTTGTGTTCAAGGAAATGTCACAGTGGGATTGTATTTTGAGATCAGGAATTCAAAGAGTTATTGGAAAATTGGAAGTGAGGGAAATAATGTTCTAAGGCAGGCATAGGCAATAAGCCAGAGGCAGTTCACCAGGGTTAGGTTCCGATGGGCCATTACTGCTTGTCCATCTGCAGGTATAGGTGCTTACAGCTCCCGTTGACCACAGATCACTGTTCCCAGCCAATGGAGGAGTGGGAAGTGGTGGAGACCAAGACACTGATTCCTACAGCTCCAATTGGCTGAGAATGGTGATCCACAGCCAATGGGAGCTTCAGGCAGCCGTGCCTGTGGATGCACAGGTAAATAAAGTGGCAGCAGCCTGCCAGTGGCTAGCTGTGGTGGACTGCATCCAGCTTGTAGGTCAATTACTGCCCACTGCTGTTCCAAGGTGAACTTCTGGCCTTTTTGAAGTCAGTTAGAATTTTGCCATTACTTCAGTGGAGCCACGATTTCATTCAGTTTAATTTATCCTAAAGAGATCCAGAAAGGTTATATTCTCCCAACTACAAGACCACATTATGGACCGTATTATGAGCTAATAGTTCTAGGCCTGGAGCAAGGATTGCATAAAGACCCCCAAATCAATTTCCTTCTGTCAGATCCAGAATAAAAGGAAAATTATAAAACCTGATGTGTAAATCAAAAAATAATTCAGAAATATTTAATAAAGCTAAATTCTGGCTGTGACAGCCAGAGCTGAATAGGGATTTAGAGGTTAGCAACAAACTGGTATTGACTAGAGCTGTCATGCCTGTAAAAGACAAAAGTAGGCAACAAGGCTTCTGGGGTGCTGCAGTAAATGCACTGTCAGAAGCTGCAAGTAATGCACTGCGAAAGACACAGCATGCTCTATTGCTACTTCCCTTGGGATGACCATGAGTATACAGCAGTGGTCCCCAACCTGTGGTCTGCAGACCCCTAGTGGTCTGTGGAAGTACTGCAGGGGGTCTTAGAAAGTTTAAAAATAAGGATCGGGCCCACTGCCTTACTTTTCTCTTCTTTCTTTTTCTCCTCTTTTTTCTCTTCTCCCTCATGGAGGGAGGGTCCATGAAATTTTAATAGATTGAAAAGGGGTCTGTATGGTTAAAAAGGTTGGGAACCACTGGTATACAGGATTCTGCTCATGTTTCCCATTTTCCAGATTAGTCTCCCCTTGTGGTGCTGAAACTGCCTGCTGTACTAATCATTCCTCCTTGTGATTAAGAACCCCACACAGGCATAACATGGCTAACTCATGAGCAACCCACTGTGTTTTTTTCTGAGTGAAGACCAAGTAAACCTGAGTAAGGACTTCAGGATTTGACCCATTACTTATGAAGTAGTTAAAGAAATACCTCTTAGAAAATGGCACAGTTAAAAATGGACCATATTGCAACTCCTTCAATGAGACCTCAGTATTTCAAATTCCAGAGGTATGCACATATAGGGGAATGATTCCTGCCACCAAAGTTTTTTATGAAAAGCAAGGAGATGAGGTGGATAGAGCATGGAAGAAAAGAATAAGAGAGGCAGGTGTGCTATGAGGCTGAAGTGAAGAGACTGAAGGAGAGAGATAGTTGCAGCAAAGAGCCAATCTCCAGATAAATTTCAATCGACTGTAAAAAGTTCACTCCCTTGGCTGCTTTTGCCCCTACTGGCTAGAGTCTCAGAATGGCCTCTTCTCTGCAATTCTTCCCTGGACTAATGTCAGGAGGACACTACCTCAATTCTATAGTTCCTAGGGTGAGATAGGAGTCTCCTCTGCACAGTTTTGGTTCCAGGGAAGTGCTGAGGAAGGGATGAACCCGTCCCAGTACAGCAGTCTCTGCATTGGCTTCTTCTGGGTAGGCAGGGAATTAGACAGAGTCCTAAATCATATACAGATTCATATTTTCCAAGGTGTGAGGAAGGTAAGATATCAGCTTTTGGTTCTGGCTCATTTTTTGCGGGGGAGGGAGGAAATATACATTAATGTTCTCTTCCATCTATACTACAGCCCGGACTGATATTCTGAGATGGATCCACTAGTTAAGACCCACCAAATCGATTGCAGATCGTTCTCCTATAGACACTGTTTGTTCTACCCCGAGAAGAAACATAAGGGAAGTCGATGGGAAAGTTTATCGTCAGCTTCCTGCAGTATAGAGCCCATGGTAACTCAGCTTAAGGTACCTTGACTCCAGCTATGTTATTCATGTACCTGGATATGCATAGATTAAATTGACTTTCTATTGTAGCTGT